GATACATATGATACAATCATTCATAAATTTAAGCTTATATTTCAAGAATGGAATTTACATATTAAATAAAAATAAATAAAAAAAAAGTCACATGAAACTTTAATTTTCAAATTGTACAAAATTGATAAAACATGTTTCTGATCTTGTTTAATCGATTAATTTAAATTTCTATTTTTCGAAATATTTGAAGTGTGTTGTGTTTTATTCAAAATATTTTTTTTCGGAAATATTTGAAAAGTATATTTTTTAAAAATCAGTCGAATTCAAAATACACCATCTCGCAATTACAGACGAGATATTATCCGTGACACAATATCGTTTGAACAATGTCATGGACATTGTATCGTGAGTTTCTTTATTTACAATTGAATATCGTTTACCAAATTAAGGTTACAACTAAACGGTCTTGTAATAAACAAACTCGCGGAATATCTCGATCATTTTCGATCGAGATATGAATAACGTGTCACAAAGTATCTCGTCCGTCGATTGCAAATATCGCAAATATTAAAATCTGATTAAAAATAACTTTTTGCAAATTATTTAATTGCACATATAACGATTATAAATATGCAAATAAGATAATTATTATTACGTAAAGTATATATATATTCTATATATATTGAGATACAATTTTATTTCAACTTCTCTACCGATTAATTGATTTGAAAAAAAAAAATCTTGTAGTGAAAAAAAAAATAATACAATTTTATTTTATAATCACTTTGTAATTTATTTATTTAATATTTGTAATAGTTTTAAAAGCTTACCTTGCAAGTAAAATCTATCAATGATGAAGAAATTATTGGAAGAATCGATCCTCTAGGCAAAGTGTGAACGATGTTGATCTCTGACTTGAAGCGATTCCTTCGATTGTTGATTTACTTCTGTTCGATATTTCGCTCAGGTTTATCTTATATTATATCAGGCTAATCTTATATTTTGTTGAAGCATGGTGATTGGTCAATTTTTCGAATGCCAATTTGAATCACCAATAGGATTGGGTCCTTTCCCTTTTTACCTAGTCTTGCCTAGAAGAGGGGAGCATTTTCGATAGTGGTGGATGACAGGTAATTTTTTCAAAAATGTTCACTTTCTCTTATACCGTTGGAATCCTTTAAAATCCCTTATTTATGATACGTTATTAATTCAGATAGAAATTTACACCAAGTAAGTTGGTTCAATCGAATCGATGAATTTCAAATCATACGTTTTATCTCATTGACATTTAATTTACACGAAATTTTTATTAAATTGCCATCTATGGATGCGATTTTATCGATTTAAGTTGTTTTAATGATGTATAAATTTAATTTAATTAAAATATACTTATGCCAATCGAAAATATGAAACGAACAAAAGAGAATTGTAAAAATTATTATTTCTAATTCTAAAAATTATTATATCTATTATTATATTTTTGAGTGCAAAACAAAAAAAAAATGAAAAAGAAATTGTTACTTTCTTAGAATTAAATTTCTTGATACGTGATAGCATTTTATATTTTCTTTCGGAGGAATATTGGATATTCTTTATTTTTATATATATTTTCTTTCGTTTTATTACCTTATAATTATCTTAATAAAGCTTATAAATCTTCCAATTCGTCTTATGATTTTTTCTTCATTATTTTATTATGATAACTGATCGTTTAAGGGTTTTCAAGGCCAAATCTTATAAATTTTCCCAAGGTTGTCCATTTACTTCTTTTTATTTATTTAGTAAGCGTGACCGTTCTCCTTTCTGAAAAATTTTTCCTTTTTAAATTAACACATCGAGGATAAGAGATAATGGAAGGAAAAATACGAATTATTGAAAATTCTGAATAAAGAAAAAATTTTAAATGAATAATTCTAGAATATACTTCTGCACTTTTTGTCACTTTTACATAGAATTATTATATTGTTAAATAAATATTAAGTATTTTTCTTTTCTTTTTTATAAAACTTGTATTTTTTTTGTTTGAAATGGTGATTTGTAATAAATTTTTTTCGGTATATTATTTGTAAATTTTACAAGATCCGATCGATCGATCGATCAGTCAAAATTAACGAAAAATTTATAATAAAACGATTTACAACATTTTTTTATTATTTTCGATTATTTTTTTACAGAGTGTAATTATTAAATATAATTATATTTATAAAGAATTGATTAATACAATGATTAATATGATTTTTAAAAATTATTTTATGCGAATATTATATTATTCGAGATATGATACAATTCTTGACATTTTACGTTTCAGCGGAGTTCTTTATTTAGAATTCTTTACAATAACAATGTCTTCTAGGCGATAGATAGGTTATCGATATTTTATATTCAAATGAAAGCAGAGATTTCTTTACGACATTTATATAACGATTGCTTTGCTTCAGAATTGAAATTTTGAAATTATTTTTTAACAGACGTATTAAAAATAATATGTTTGAAATGAATGATAATATATATAAGTGTAATAACAAGAACAGTATTTTATTTATTTTATTACAAGATATTTATTTTTAATTTAATGTATTACATATTTTTCATATAAATATATTATAAGGAATTAAATTTTAAAAATTTTAATTTAAAAATTTTTGTTTAAAAATATTTCTTGATAGACGATTCTTTCTCTTAAAAAATATAAAAATATCTCAATCAATAGTACTTGAGTCATTGAGGAAAGACAAGTAGGTATTGTCTCGAATATGCTATTGTCGAAGGAAATCAATATTTTCTATGTATAGACGGAATATTCTGATAACTTTATTGTTTAATATATCGATTGCAAGAAAATAAATAATATAAATTCAAAAATCATATTAATTTATATCAGAAAATTTTGTGTATAATTTCACGTACATAAAAGATAATTTAAAATTTGACTTTATTCTTAAAAAAAAATTATTTCAGCTAAAAAAGTATTTAATTATTTTCTTGATATAGAAAAATAATATGGTAAAGGAAAGATAAGAAAGAATCATTTTTTTGATGTATTATGAGTAGTTATTTATACAAGAATTTTTCCTCTTGATTCTTTCTTTTTGTTTTAATAATGAAAGATTTTACGATAAAAGATTTTAAAATAATTATGTAATTAAAATAATTGAATATTTATCGGATTAGCAAAAATAATACCTTCTTTATTAATAGATGTATCAATCATGTTCGTTATTCTTTGAATTCAACTTGTACGTGCGTCACTAGATCAAATGAAGCAATTGACCTTTCCATTCGAAATAGACACCAATGGTGATTACCTAATTCTTTGATATTGTTCGAAGAAGTCGTGTGAAATTCTTGTTCCATCTTGCAAGAAGTATATTGCATTTTATATACTTTCCATATTTTGAATTAAGTTTTCATATATTTTAATTTTAAAATGTATATATGTGTTAATCTAATTTTCATTTTATATGCGCAATCTTTTTTTTCCTTAATTTTTTTTTATACATATTTATTCCTATGAATTCAAATTTATAAAATTACGCAAATATATAGAAAACCAATCCCGCTTCTTTTAAGATGAAGATAACACATAATTAGTAATTAAAAATTATATTTCAATATTACATTTCACAAAATTTTTAAATTTATTTCATCGTATTAAAACATATCACTTAAGATAATATTTATGTTGTATTTAGTATAATTGTGAGTAGTATCATTTAATATAATAATTGGAATTTGTTTTTATTCGGTATTCATAATAATAAATTTTGTAACAATTTACGTCATTCACGTGCAAAAAAAAAATCTAATCATTCACATAATCTAGGGTTGAAATTATTAATTCATTATAAATGAACAAATAAGAAATTTTTAACAATTTTAAAAACTTTTTCGAATCTAAATTTTTAAAAATTCTATAATTATTATTTATTCTGCAATTCATTGTAAATTAACTTTAGACGATTATTAATTCTGAAATAAGTAAACGTTTGACAAATAAAATAATTTGAAGAATTTTTTATGCCAATTATTTCCCTAATTTAATCTAGCGAATTTCTCATTGATATATCGTTTTCGTGTCATAATGTTAATGGAAAATGATTTTTCTATTTTTATGTCATATTGATTGATCATTTGCACTTTGGTCGTTTTCACTGATTGAATTCTGTTTTGTTAGCAACTTATTTAATTATTAATATAAGAACACATATAGAATGTTAACAGACTTTCCTTTTATATATTAAATTATCATATATTATTGTTTTTTTTACGAAGTAATACGTCATTTATAATAATAAATTGGTTCTTTTCTACATATTAATACGCAATTTATCTATCAATGATAATTATCTACAATTATAAAAAAAAAAATTCAAAATATTGAGATCAGAAATTACGCAGGGAAATTAATTTCATTTAATTTTCATTTAAGAAAGTTAGTTTTTTTATTTAAAAATTTATTTTGAAATTCATTATTCTTTCATTCTAAGTTTTAAATTCAAATTTATTATTTTGCAAAGCAATGATACAAATCCAAATTTTAAACAATTAAAATATAATATACCATAAAATGGTTATGTATAATTATTGCATAATAATTTGTTTTTGTTTTTTTACTTGTAATACGATTATGATACGATACGATATTTTAATCGCTAAAATTTCGATTTGTATTATTGCTTTGCAAAATAATAAATTATGCCGAACAATGCAAAAACAAATATTATTGTCTTTCAAAACATTTTCTCTTCCAGCGATCGAAAATGTTAAAGGAATATTCCTACAAAAGTCATCTAGGAATATTCCTATAAAAAAAAATAAAAAATTATATTGCATAAATAATGCGATCTTTGTAGAATGCTAATGAGGGGCGTAGTGTATGCGTCATTATTTACGCACACATGGACCTTTTTTTTTTTTTTCTCGATTTTTACGATTCCTGTGTTTGTCCCGTAAAGACTATCAATAATTAACAGGCTAATCTACATTTAAAAACAATTAAACATTGAAAGTTACTCATGGATAAATCTCTCCTTATTCTCTAGGTATTCCTCCACTTTGATTCTTTGTCTTCCTTTTTTTTAGCGCCTTTTCGAGAGACAGAATACGCTCTGTTTGAAATACGCCAATTAATAATCAATGCACGCACCGAAATCGCAAATGAAGAGACATATTACGATAAGATAATTAGACACAATGGACGGTAGTCATCTCATAATATTCTGAAATAAAGTGTTAGTCATATCGAAGATATGCGAAATGCTCTTCAATATCGTACCCGATATTACGTGAACTAATTTTTGACATGGTCTACATTACTATCTCCGAGCTAACTTGTAACCGAGTTCACGAATTATATTTGCTAGTAATATGAATTCCGTGAACTTTTCGTTGGTGTATGTGTTGCTTTGATATTCACGATTGGGATTAGGAAATTTTCAGCCGGCAAAACGTTTATTACTCTTTAACGTTTACAACTATCAGCAAATTAATATTCATTGATCAATTTACTGTACGCGATTTTTATTTTCCAAAATATGTTGCAATATTGTACATGTTTATCTTTACGCATGAAGAGTTTTATATTAATCCTTCAATTTTATATTGATGAAAGTATATCCATTTTTATATCTCTCTTATTGATAAAATTCGACATAATTCAAATATAGGAATTCAAAGCCATTTTAGTATACTTTTAGAGAATTATATCACAGAAATCCGGATATCCGATATAAATTAATATAACAATATAATAATTTAATAAAATTTTTACTGAAACTTTTGTATTTTTAAATATTTTTGCACGTTGCTTTCTTTCATATAAAAAAATTATCCATTTACTTGAAGAAAATATTTTTTTTTCTTGATGCTCAAGAAAAAAAAAAAAGATCATTTCGTTGACAAATATGATTTACGTATCTAGTCAATCATTTACGTTTGAGAAATATTTGACGATGACAATGACCTAGAATACCCTTGAATTTAAGGTTATTCATTGATGAATGTGAATGTACTATATATATTGACACGTGTATGCACTTTCACTTCTTATTGAATGTGGGCTGACCAAATGATCAACGAAAAAATTTCTAGGACGTTTACGCACGCATCTATAAATTTACATTTTTTTTTTTTTTTTTTTTTTTTTTTAAGTATTTTTTGTATATTTTTTCCAAGAACCATTTTATCCACTTATTTCATATACGTATATATGAGTTACTCGATTTTTCGAATATTTTATCCCTGTATTTTCTATATCTCTTCTATATTCCTTCCTGTACTTTCATTTTTTCAATCGTTGGCCTAATTTTAAAATTTGAAATAGTTTCAAAAAAATATTCAAAGCATTCAGTTATTCCTGTTTTTATTTCATCTTCAATCTTTTCAAGAGCCATAACTGGTTTATTCGAATTAAGTGTCAATGACCTCGGTGGTCCTTGAAAGGACATTCACGATAGATTATCATGCAATATATTAAATGTATGTCTTGTAGAAGAATTTTTTAACTTTGAATTTATCGGTTGTATTAATTTATGCGACAAACGATTAAAATTTAGAATTTAAAAGTATACAAACTTTTGACAAATACATTACGCTTATTAATTATATAAATATTTTGATCATTCATTTGAGGATTCACAATAAGATTTTAATTTTTATTAACATATAGTTTATTAACATATAGAATTAATAGCAGATTTCTGTTTTCGAAAATGTGATCGATAATAATCGATAATGAAACAAAATTTAATGAATAGTATTAGATTCAAATTTTGATTGTTCATGCATTAAAAACTAATAATCTCACAATGATATATTAAATATATTATAATTTATATATTACATATGTTGTATAATGTAATAAATATTATTAAAATTCAAATGAATTAAAATCCAATCTTAAAATTAATCTTAGAAATATATATTAAATTTATTATTTATATATCACATTTTGTGCAATAAGATTTTTGCATAAATAATATAAAATATTCAATAACATCAAACCATAATAATAATTTAGATTATTGGAAAGAAAATTTTGTTTATATATATAGTTATCGAACAATGGACAATTGATAATTTTATTGCTGTGTTATTATAAGAATTTATTTTAATAAATAATATATTAATAAATTTGATTATATTATAAATTACTATCAATAACAAGTATATCTTATAATAAAATTTATTTTTTGTTTTGATCCTTTTATTGGGAATTAAGTAACAATATTTTATTATAACAATTAAGTAACAATTTTTTATTCGTGTGCGTCAATTTCATATAAATAAGAATGAAAAGATTCCCTAACGGAAAATTAAATGCGTCATTTGATCGTGAAGACATTTTTTTAGCGAACAATAAAAATCAGCAAACTGGTTTTAAGAGAGAATCTCATTTTTCTGGTTTTGTTTTCGGTCTAAGTTCTAAAATGTCCAACATAAACCGGATATTCCAGTTTAATTATCTCTTTTTACAACGACTTTACGAGTTTATTCTTTAAATGATTTATTATCTGCTTCTAATACTTTATAATTCATGAATTACAAATATCAAGTTGAAATGATAGAATATCAATTCATTTCGTTTCTATTTTTTTACACGTTTTTCACTACTTGTATATTTCATTTGAAATATCATTTTATATGGTTATGTTAAAAATGAAATATAAAATATAATATTTTTATTTTATTAGAAATAATTTCTTCTTTCTAGTAAACTGAAGTGATTATACAAATGATTAAAGGCATTATAATAATTCTTTGTTTCAAAGTGGTCAATAGCTTTCAGATAGATTAGTCAATAAAATTTATACGATTTGGAAAATCAATAAATTAATAAAGAATATAAAAGTAACATATTTAAATGTATTTATTTTGTTTAAAATTAATTAAATTAAAATTTATTACTCATAAATCTATCTTTAAAGAATTTATCCTGTTAATTTATCGATAATAAATAAAACTTTCTTCCGAAATTTTTATTTGATTAGCTTTCACTACAATTGTAAGCAGCCTAGATACGATGAAAGTTAAATAAGTTTTGTTCAGCATATATAGTGTATGCCACAACTTCTTCGATTCCTTTATGACTAAGGAGGCCATCGTAATAAGGACACGATCATTGTTACATGGTTTCCATATACGAGCATATTTACTTGTATATAACACATATATACAATCATAAATTTAAATTATATAATAATCTCTATTTTTTTCTAATTCTAATTTTTTTACATGTATCATAGCGTTTTCAACATGTTATACAATTACATAAAATACCATTTTCAAAGGTAAAAAAAATGACGCACAAAAATATGTATTCATCTCATTGATGTAATGAACAAAAAGAAAAAGATAATTATATATATCATGCTAAGGTATAATAACACATTGATGTGCAATAAAGCAAATATAATATTATAAAATAAAATAAATATAGATATTATAATTGCATCTAATATATTATAATTTATTTATATGTACGTTGCATAAACATCTAACATCTGATTTTTGAATAAAGAACATTTTTGATAAAAAAATTTGTATTGTAAAAGTGATAAATAACTAATAAGCATGCCGTACATATTCTTCGTTAACTTTGTATCTTATGTTTATCTTCTTTTTTTAACAGAATTGTAAATATCAAGTAGAAAATCTATCAAAGTTAAAAAACATTTACGTCAATTCTTTAAGGCCATCTAAAAAAAGAAAACACACACAAAGTTATAAATTTTAATATTATTATTTAGAAAGATTCTATTGTGTGATTTTTTTTATAGATATCTGATTGTAACAAATAGAATATAATGAATATGTGATGAAATATAATCTGAAGAATTACTTTTTTTTTTTTTTTACATTGTCCAAAAAAAGATGATTGATGATTTTTCTAAAAGTTATAAAATCTTAGAAATATATTTTTGAGATTTTTTTTTATTTCTTTTCTTTTATTGGGAAAACAAAATTATTATTAAAATAGTAGATGAAGTATGTGAAGTTATTTGATAGTAGATGACTTGCAAAATTCAAAAAAATTTCGACTTAAAATATCATGGAAGATTACATTCCATGAAAGATCATGATTGATGATAAAATTAAATTAATCGTTTATACAAATAATCTATTAATAAATAATATGTAACGTAATATAAAATCATGTACTTTATAAAATCATTATTAATACAAAATGTAAAATTTAAAAATTAATAATGATGTCATATCATATTTTATACGATCTAGATGATCATGGTCAATTCTTATTTTTTATATGTCTTTTTTTTTTTTATCTCTTATGCACGTGTAAAGGAGATGTTACGTTTCTTTTAACGTCAGTCGACTAGCTTCTTTTATGAATCCCAATTACGAGTATTTAGCGCAAAAAAATAGTTTAAATCGTTGAATCATTGAAAAGCAATATATACATTTTGCATTATCTTGCTCTCTTATACAATAAATGAACTACGCATCGTTGTTAGATATTTGGCGATTTTAATATCGATAGTTCATGAATAGTTCATGAATATTGATACATTGATTGTGAATATGATCTTTATATAATAAACGTATAATTGGCATGATGTCAACGTGATGAAGAAAATTAATATATTCTTCATTTGTGCGCAGTGTAATAATGTTGATTAATTTAGTGAAATTTACATATGCTAATAAAAATATATTCTATAAAATTAATTTTTTTCTTATTTTCTAAATAATTGTTAGCATGTAACTTCTGATATTAATTCTTTAAATCGTTACATTATTACATTTGTCACGTATCATTTTAAAATTTTATTTCTCTAATGATATAGATATCTAGAGTTTAGTTTTATTTAGTTTATTTTTTTATTTATTCAATTATTTAACATAAAAGTAAAATTAAGAGTTTCTCATGTAAAATGTGCAAGAAATTCAATATGAAGAAATATTCAAAATCTCAAACATTTCTTTTTGCATTTCTTTTTCCTATGTAAAACGAGCATGTAAAAGAATTTCTAAAATTTTCAAGCTTATAAATTTTCAGAAACGACATATGAAATTAACGAACATATATATATATATAATAAATAGAAAAGGAATTTTACAACAATTGTATATCTTCACATCACGATGTATTATTTGAATTATTATTAGTTTTCGATAAAAAAATAATAGCGGAAGAGGAAAATCTAAATTGATAATTAATGTTAACTAAATTTGACAATTTCTTAAAGAATGATGAAAGCGGAAATATCTTTCTATTACAACTTCCTATAAAAGATAAAAAAATTTTGCATTTTATACCGACCATGACATTTGGATTCAATTCATTTTGATATTCTCGAAAATATATTTTTATGAATACATTTTTCCATAATATATCTCAAGAAACGAAAATTAAAATTAGAAAATATGTCAAGTATGTAATAACATTTTAATATCATGTATCCTGTTATCACATGATTTTATACAATAAATATCTCGGTATTTATAAGTAAATATCGTTCCAGCGAAAAAAAGTATGCAGATAAAATACAATTTTCGAATTTAATTTCACAAACTGCGAAATAAAAATTAATTCGGAATGATAATCATGGAATTTGGAAAATGTTTTATTTTCAAATTTTATTTTCATATCTACTTAACGTCATCATAAAGATTGTACTAAAAAAAAAAAGAAAAAGAAATTTAAATACGGTAAATAAAAAATATATATATATATATATAATTATGGACAATTAAAAAGTTAAGAATTTTTTTCATTTTTGAATTAATTATAATTCATTTTCATATAAGAATTGCGAAGAATTTTTTTGCCAAGAAACTTTGTTCTGAAATGTTATTTTCTATATGCATGATTTAATGGTTGTTTGATTTTTATAATAAACAAGAATAGTTTAATGCGATAGAAATATTAGATTCATTTAAAAAAGGAGAGGGGGATAATTATTTATCAATTTTTGCTAAATGTTATAAAGTTAAGGTCATCGATAAGAAAAAATTATATGTAATATAACGCAATAAGAAAACTAATATTGGAAAGTATTTCCTTGGTTAAATATACATCATTAATGTTGTTTACGGAGATAATATTGTTTAGTATTTATGCAAATTTGTTTACTACGTAATAATATTAAACATGTTGATTGTTGATCATGACATTAAGAACTAATTTTTATTAATATTACTAATTTAGAAAGAGATGATCTATATTTTTAAAAATATTGAATTTTATTTTTATGAATTATAAATTACAAATAATTATGAAAATAAGAAAAAGAAATTTGGATAAAATGGATTATTTCATATTGCCCCATTATTTTTATCGAAAGGATTATTTTATCGTATATATAAATTTAGAATATCGTATAAATCTTTTACATAAAATCTAATTAAAAAATGAAATATTATGGCTTATTAAAATAGAAAGCAATAGTAAAAGTTTCTAAATTTATTAAAAATAAAAAATAATGAATTATTTACACAAGCAATTTTTTATTTTATTTATTATTTTTCATAAACTAACGAATATAAAAAGATTCTAAACTTTATTATTAACAGTATAATTGTATGTATCTTTTCTTCATGATAAGTAAATTTGGTTCCAAAAATAATAATCATCGAGTAGTCGTTATATTTTAAAAATTTTCAAATTTCATATATATGTATACAAAGCGAGACGCATATGAATTAAACACGAGTCTGGCGCCGTCAAAAACAATTATCCATTTATATTTTAAACGAAACAATTTGTACATATTATACCGTGCCATGAGCAACATATTTTTGCTTAGTTCGTCTTACAATACTATAAATGGATCTTTATTAGATTTCATCATGGGATATGTTACATTATGTTTTTGTTTCAAAGCGAAGTTATATTTCTTCTCTATTTTTTTTTATTCTTATCTTTCGAAAGTTCATTAATTGACTTTTCAAACATAAAGTCGATTGACGATTTGTTTGATTAATACGATTGACCTCGAATAAGCGTTATATGTATATGTATGTTATATGTATATATATATATATGTACCTTTTTTTCTTTCGGCGTGTAAAATTATATTATGCGCATAATAATAAATGTATTATGCGTAAATATTACGCGAACAAAAATTTTTCATCCTTGACTTTCATCTTCTGTTTTCACACGAAATAAGAGGCGATTGCACTTGTTGTGTGGCATGTATACAACATACAACGTACCGGTGCACCTGTGGGCCGTTTGCGCGTTATGAACTACAAAGCCTCAAGTCGATTTCGCCCGAACTCGACCGAAGGATAACGAACGTTGTGCATATATAAAGCCAGCAAGTGACGCTTAGCGATCATTCGAGCGAAGTTAGATCGATGCAAAGTTTCGAGCATTCGATCAGCATATCTCTCTGTGAAACATAATCGAAATTCGAATAAAAGAAAAAGTGATACAGTGTTTCGAACGCAATCAGAAGAACGTTCTCTTTCGAATATAATTTCGATCGAGAACACAAATCCAAAAAAAATTCCATCTCGAAAGAAAGAGGCCGAGAAGAAAACAAGATGTACACCAATCCATTTAACCGCAAACACAGCACTATTCGTCAGATGTTGGACCGGCTGTTAGATCCGACTAAGAATCGATCAGGAGATCTGAAAGCGTGTCGAGTTCTGGAAGTGGCAGTTCGAAGGGTAGTAACAGCTCCCTGAGCAGATGCATTCACGGCCACAGAGGAGTTTTGCAGTGGGGAAGAAAATGAAACGTGGAGGAAGGGAATCGGCGAATCGCTATATCACTCTCTTCTTTACTCTCCGTTTTTGTTTCATCCTCTTTACCTATCTTAGCGGAGAAGTGTACCGATAAGGGAAGAAAACGGAGCCATTATAACCTTCTGTGATGATGCGAGCCATTGAGACGAAATTTTGCTGTTAACGGTAATCGGTGGTGTATACTACAGAAAATACCATTGCATGAATGAAAGGCGGGCTCGTTAGAAGGGAATGCGTTTTGAATCGAGGCGCGGGAAGTCGTGGCGCGACTTCATGGAATTACGAAGCCATACAGCAGCGGGATAGATGTTATTATGCCGTGAAGAAAATCGATCGGTGTTATTTACTCGGATCGATGATCAAAGGATGTCGTATAACGTCGTATATGTCACGGTTACACGAGTACTCGGTATTAGGCTGCGATATGAATGTCGTAAATTCTCTGAATATATATGTAATATCATTTTCATTAATCATAGTTTCATTAATTCATAGTTAATGTTCGACATATACATATATATATAACAATAATCGATTGATAAATTCAATTTGAATATCGTACGCATTATATTTTTATTATATATTTTGTATGTTGTAGATTGTGTGCCATAATCATATTATAACTTGAAATATATGTATAGTTTGCATCAATTTATTAATATGTTAAAATTGTATTTCTCTTTTCTGTTATGTATATGCTTTTCAGTTGGCTGTTAGTGTTAAGTTACTAGTCAAATCCAGTATTAATCACCGAATTTATGAACCAGATATACATGTAAAAATTTGTAAACCGATGATGTTATTATCGCATGATGTATATTATTTTTAATTTATTCGTCATGTGTGATTATTTGAATCAAATAAAAAATATTTA